ACATAGCCTCGCTATTATTTCTCTAAAAATCTGTTTCTCTGTCAGAACTTGTACACAGCGCCTGATGTATATTGTGTTCATTGAATGAATGAATGAAAGAACGTTACTTTAAGAAACACCTAAAATCCCGGCTTATATTTATATAGACCTGCAATATAGATAACAAAAGTAGGCTAAAATCTTGAAGTTAGACAGGGGGCATCAAAAGATGTTATTTCATTCCCTTGCTTTGATAATTAGAAAAATATATATTCAAATATATTTTTTTTAATTTTTTTTCAACGTTTTTTATTTATTTTTGGGACAGAGAGAGACAGAGCATGAATGGGGGAGGGGCAGAGAGAGAGGGAGACACAGAATCGGAAACAGGCTCCAGGCTCCGAGCCATCAGCCCAGAGCCTGACGCGGGGCTCGAACTCACAGACCGCGAGATCGTGACCTGGCTGAAGTCGGACGCTTAACCGACTGCGCCACCCAGGCGCCCAGGCGCCCCTATATTCAAATATTTTTAAAGAGATAGATGGCTTCTTCAGTCCTCTACAGTTATCTGTTCAAGCGGCTTCTATGATTTTACATGAGGAACTTGAGGCTCGGGTTGGTTGACTTGACCAAGGTCGCACAGCTAAAAAGCCAAGGAGGTAGGTCCTGTACTGAGTCTCTCTGCCTCCAAGCCTCTTTCCTCTAGGCCACACTGATTTCCTTGTGATCCCTCACTTAAAACCATTGATTTATTTGTTTGCTAATTTAAGCTCCTAGCCTAGAGAAGGCACTGTTTTAGGACTTATGCATAAAAGGATACAAAAAAAATCTATATATCCTGCCTGGTGGGTCAGAGAAGGCTTACAGAGCAGTAGCATCTGAGCTAGGCCTGCCTCTCCTGATTAAGCCAGTAAATCCCCTTTTCGACAGAAGCTAGCATGAACAATGATATGTAACTTGCAACTAAAAGTTTCCTCATACATGTTATATGGATGTAGCAGAATTTATTAACCACTCTGATATTGTTGGACATTTACATTGTTTCTAAAATTTCACTATTAATAATAAGATTATGATGAACCTTTTATTTTATGTATGTATTTATTTATTTTATTTTATTTTTTTTAATATTTATTCATCTTTGAGATGACAGAGAGAGACACAGCGTGAGTGGGGGAGGAGCAGAGAGGGAGGGAGACACAGAATCTAAAGCAGGCTCCAGGCTCTGAGCTATTAGCACAGAGCCTGATGTGGGACTCAAACTCACTGACTGTGAGATTATGACCTGAGCTGAAGTCGGACGCTTAACTGACCGAGCCACCCAGGCGCCCCTATGATGAACCTTTTTAAAAAAAGATTTTATTTTTAAGTAATCTCTACACCAAACATGGGACTCAAACTCACAACTCTGAGATCAAGAATCACACGCTCCACTGACTGAGCCAGCCAAGTGCCCCTATGATGAACCTTTCTGCATATGCCTGTTTGTATACGTGTCTCAAAGCATTGAGGATACGTCTTTGGTCTGTTACCATGTTGCCTTCCAGAAAGATTTGGATCAATTACTCTTCCGCCATAATTGCAAAAGAATGCCAATTTCTCCCCAATAACCTACTTCCTAATTGCAAGGCCCTGTATAAGGATCAGGATAATATGCATAAAAATACTTTACAAATAGTTATTAAATTTTTACCTATTATCAAAGAGCTTTCCTCTGAAGAAGGGAAACTATTATGTTTTGGGTGCTTCCTATGTGCTGGGCACTATACTAAGAACTTCCCATGCATCATGCTTTTTAAACTTCGTAACAACTCTTTGAGAAAAGGACTATTTTTTATTGAAATATAACTGACACACAATATTCTATTAGTTGCGTGTGTGTATAACACAATGATTTGACTTTTGTAAACACTGAAAACTGATCACCACAATAGGTCTAGCTACCGTCTGTCACCTTACAAAGTTAATTCAGTATTATTCACTGTTCTGAAAGGGACTCTTATTATCCCCATTTCATAGGGGAAAAAACCGAATTGAAGTAATTTGTCCAATCTGCAAAGCCAGCATCGGAACCCAGATCAGTCTGATTTCAGCTTCTCACTCTTACCATTGCTTATGTTAAACGGAATGTCTAAGTATGAAATAGCGGGGGCATCAGACACATAACAGTTAACGATACTACCAGGCAAAGTTAGGTACTAGGTAAGTTATACAGATGGCTATGTACGGTAAATGTGTGCCTTAGCTAGGGTGACCCAGCCCCGGCTCTCAGACGGCAGGTGAAGGTGAAAACATACGTAGCCTGGCAGATAATACTCCTCAAAGACATTTCTCCCTCGTTTCTTTTCCACTGCCAGGCACCCCCCAACTCAGTGTGGGCATCCCTTCCTCACCGAAGACGGTGCTGCGGATCGTCCAAAACTTCCTCATGTCATTTTCATCAAAATTCCCTGGTTCATAAAAAAAACTCAGAAGGTGTTAAGATTCTTACTTGTTCTTGAGTCATTGGTTATTACCAGTCGTTGATTTGGGTAATAACTATTACCCAAAAAAGACTAGTTTTTTTTTTTTTCCCTATCTACTCCCCTTGTATTTTTATTCAAACCAAGAAGCCTCGCTTAATTATAAAAGTAATTCATTTTCATGCTACTGCAAACTGAAAATATGAGTCAAATACACCAATTACATCTCTCTCCTTTTAGTAGCTATCCAGGTACTTTGAAAACCGCTCACAAGTCTTTGGGGACAGTCAACTGGCTTCCGGTCTCCTCCCAGACTGGTGCTCAGCTGCCCACGTCCCAACTTAGGGCTGTCAGTTAACACAGATCAGTCTTATCAGGCTGTGGGCCTGAGGCCTTGGACACACCTGCCACACTCCCATGTCATCTCTTTGGGACGAAGGGGGGTGAGCTGCCCACGTGATGGGCGACTTTGTAGCATCCTGGTAAAGAGATACAGGGACTCGACCAGTTTACCTAGATGACCTGAGGTCAGCTTCTGTATCTGTTTCCTCATCTGCAAATCGGTGAAAAATTACATTCTCGGGGCCTTTGTGGGTATTAAATGAGACATTGTATATTAAACTCTTCGCCCTGTGCTCGGCACATATTGTGTTCAAAACATAATTGTATACGCGGCTCCACACTGGGAACAAGAAGGGAAAAGATGTCCTTTCAAGACCCCTGTCTTGAACCTCAAGCAGCTCTGCCTCTCCATTCCCTGGGCTCCGTATTCCTCTGAACCTTTGGGAAGCGGAAGGTAGCAACGAAGAAGACCACACCACCTCTTCTAACACTCTCAATGCCATCATCACAGATCCAAGCTCTGTCTCGCAGCTCTCTTCTACCTCAGCTGCCTGTTTTTGGCTACTACTTTTGTTCCTGTTTATATCATGCATTTTCCCCGAGAGAAAACCCAGAGGCATTCCTTGTTCTTCCTCTCGCTTGGCCTCCTGCACGGCTACAGTGCGAACAACAGTTGGAGTTGCAGGATTGAAGAAAAATAATGAAAATGATGAATTCATACCCATTTGCACATTAAAAAAACCTCTGCTTTCATCAAAGCAGAAGGTGAAAGAACATTCCTCATCTGCTTCAGGTTATTTAAAGTTACATTCTTATAACAATGGAGTTAATAAAAGATTGTGTACAATTCACTCTATTTTAAGCCAGATGTTCACAAAGCATGCTCTATAGAATACCTGTTCAGAAGAATGTAAGCAACACAACATTAAAGAAAATCCCTTGCTAGCAGAACATGGGAAAAGGTGGGCTAAGCAAAATTTAAATTGTAGGACTCTCTCAAGGCCACAAGATCAAAGTGCACACTGAATCTCCAATGGGGGTTATGGTGTGTGATATTTTCCAAATTGGACTTCAAGCTCTGTTTTTGAGGAACGTCTCAGAGGACTTGCGTTCTTCTCGACCCACTTTGGAAAACAGATACAAATCCAAGGAAGATCACATTTAATGACTGTTCTAGAAACAGAAGTGAGGCTGAGAATGATATACTTGAAGATAACCAGAGAACCTGTCCTTCTGTTGCCAGACAACAGGAATTTAAGAGGAAAGGGAGGGTAGTGGTTAGTCCTCTACCAAACTGGGGCAGTAGATTTTGGGGACAAAGCAGCACCTATGTAAAGAGCTCTTTTGCCCTGGACAGTTGTCACCGAAGGGGAAAATAAAACATGCCCTGAAAAGAACATATGCTACATAAACATGGCATGGTAGAGGGCAGAGGAGAATGGTGTGGGATATGTTGGGGGGGAGTACATTCCTCTCTTCAGCTTTTTGGAAATATGGTAGAATTATGCAAAGGAACTAAGCCAGTGCCAGCGATTACTAGGAGTGCTTCGGTTTTGCCTCACTTAGACTTATAACCACTACACCTGAGTGACTCATACTTCTCTCCCTCCCTCTCTACGTATCGGTCATGCTACTCCTGCTCGTGAGGCCTCTGTCCTTGGCCACCGACTTCCCCCCCACCTCTGTCTCATCCCAACGTCAGACAGGATATATCCCTTGGTTTAGGGCTATTTCACTTGCCTGTGGCAACCAACGAACAAATGTATTGGTGCATCGCACTGAAGAGCTAAAGAGGAGTCTGGGCTCAGGCCCAGCGTGAGCAGCGTGAGGGGGGCCTCAGTCAAGGTCATGAGGACCCAGGTCTCTCTGCTGCATCTTTTGGCTCCACTCTTCTGTGTGCTGGCTGGCTCCATACTCGAGCTCCACAGCTTGGCCAGATGGCTGCGGCCCCCCATGCCCGGCAGATACAGCGCTCTCTTCCCCAGAAGTCCCTGCAGTGGTCACCACTGAATCTCATTGGCTCTGGCTGGGTCCGGTCGCTGAGCCAACATAAGCATTCCTATCTGCTCCTTGACTGACCTTGCCCTCCCTCGAAAGTTTGATGAATTTTTCACTCAGTGATTAATGTCCTATTGCCTCTGTGTCTTGGTGAATTTCCCTATATTTTAAACAAGATACAAATTATTCTAACAAAATAGTAAGAGTTATAAATGATACCTGAATAGGGTGGGTGCAGGTGGTTCGGGGTCGTGAAGGCCTGGCCCTGGAGGCACTGCCTGGATGGAAGGCACCTGAGAGTTGATTCTCCACGACGGTCCAGATGGCATCAGGGACCCTCTTCTCCCTCCGCGTCCTGAAGGAGAGCAAGGGCACTGGGCTCTGTAGATCAGAGTAAACACAGGGTCTCGGGTCAAACGAGCAACGTGGGAGAAGCAGACTCTTTCTTGTTTTAGTACCTTTCTCTCCTTTTGCCTGATCTTTAGAATATTCTAAAGCGTTCGGCTTTACTTTCCAACCATTCCCTGGTGGTTCAGTATAGGATTAACCAGGCCAACGTGCATAATCCACTGGTGTGAATTTTGTGGCTAGGGTTATGTTCTAGACTCACTGATGTTCGGTTCTGTGGCAGAAATGCCAGACTCTTGCTGGCACAGTGCCAATACCGGTAATATCAGGATCCAAGCTTCACCTGGCTGCTGTCTCCCCCTACCCCACACTTCTCAACCCACCAGCGTCCTTCTCCTTCACCCCACCTCTGTCTACCTCCCTCCCAGCCTACCCTGTCTGCTGTGCATCCCTCCAGGAGTATAAAATAGGGTCTCACGTAGAGGTTCCCCGGCTATCAGTGACAGAGGACATTACACTATCCCTGCGGCCTTTGCAGTTAAGGCCTCGGAGAGGTGGGCAGCCCAAGACCCTCCCCAGCCCTCCATCCCATTCCGCCTGCTGGTAGCACAGCATGTAGATAGACATGCTGGGCTCCCCCACACCCACTCTGTCCTGTTGCCTTAGCAACGAGACTGAGAAAGTTGGGTTTCTTGGTATCCAAGGTTACACTGTGCTCAGACGACTGCTACATGTACAAATGGATCTCTAGTTCGGTGAGAGGTTTTAACTGTATACAGGTGGATACGAGTGACACAGCGAATCTGGGTCTGATCACAAGATTCCCTTTCGTTTGTGTAACTAGAACTCAGGGTTATCACTAGGATCATTTGCAATCAGCAGAAAGAGCTGCTTTCTTTCTTCCCAGGAGTAAGGAAAGTGGGTTCTTAAAGGCAGGGGTGAGAACTGGGGCGAGAGTTGATAGAAAGGGAGCGTCAATGTTATTATTTACTTTTTATTCAGTCACGTGAATTTACAAAAGAAGAGGACCGTGCATCTTTGCCCTTTATAGTTCATAGCCCAGGGTGTTTTTTGGGGTGGTCCCACAGACCATCTCCCCCAAGACAGCCAAAGGTCAAGCTGGTAGTCAAGGGACACACATAGCTCACCCCAGATACTCATCTGAGCAGAGGCAGCAGGCCCTCAAACCCAGAGTCTTTTGTTGCCTCAGCCCTGCTCTGCCTTCCCTGCTCTCTCCTGCCATGGGGGGGAAGGTTCTCTGGGCCCAGCTCTACCCGGGTTGTGGCCTCTCAGCCAAGCTCAGCCACACAAGCGTCCCAGCTGACTTCCTGCAAGGAGGAACGGCTCCATGGGCCGTTGGATCCAGAGCGCCTGTCTTCTAGCTTGGCTCATGACAGACAGCCCTTGACGGTTTCCACAGACATCTCATGCGATGTTGCAAAAATCCAAGGAGGAGGAAGGTACAGTTTATCCGGCCCATGTTGCAAGTGAGCAAACAGGGACTTAGAGCAGCCCACTTAGTAGCGTGGACCTGGTGCTTGTGGCCTGGGGTCCTCCTCTGCCTATCTCTTAGCCCCATGACCTGGGAACGTGGTCCTGCAGAAGGCAAATTTGCCATCCAGTTTTGAAGGAGATTTTGCAGACCCATTTTAGTTGGCATTCTCTCAGAGAAACTGGAAGAAATTAAAGACAACCCCACCAGCTGTGTATTAAAGTTCTCAATAAAGAAGTTCATGGTCAGGGTGCCTGGATGGCTCAGACAGTAGAGTATGCAGACTCTTGATCTCGGGGTTGTAAGTTCGAGCCCCACGTTGGGTGTAGAGCTTACTTAAAGAAATAAAATCTTATAAAAAAAAAAAAAAGAGTTCATGGCCACAGTGACAGTATTTTCTGAACTAAAACACAGGATATGTGGTCTTACCAATGGTTCTTGCTAATTTCAGAACTTGGTCTTATGAAAAAGAAAGCTCATCAGATTTAAATCTCATTCAGTTATACATGTAACCAATTGCCATCAGTGGAAAAAATAAAATGACTTGGATCAGGATTATCCCAGAAAGTTGGGGCCACTGGGGCTGCATTGATGATGCTATGAGGTATGAAGCCACACTTACTTATTTTTTTAAGTTCACATTCTTTTTTTTTTCTTTCAAGAAGATTAAGGTGATTTATAAACAACTTCTATTAATCCTTTTGTGAATACTGAAATCAAGTTTAATAGAAATTGATCACTATAGGTTTCTTCTAAGAAACCCGGCAGGATTAATATTTAAGAGGAACCGCAGAACCCTGATCATTAACGATACTCTTTTCAAAAACTCAGATTAGGAAATTAGTAAAGTCAACAGTTCAAACACGGAAAAAAAGTGATCTTCGATTAATGTCATGATCCATTCTTCTTTCAAAACTTTTAAAGGAGGGGCGTCTGCGTGGCTCAACTGGTTAAGCGTCTGACTTCTGCTCAGGTCACGATCTCATGGTTCGTGAGTTTGAACCTCACATCAGACTCTCTGCTGTCAGCATGGAGCCCGCTTCGGATCCTCTGTTCCCCTCCTCTCTCTCTCTGCCCCTCCCCTGCTCGTGCTCTCTGTCTCTCTCAAAAATAAAAAATAAACATTAAAAAAAACAAAAAGCCTTTCAAGGAAACTTGATCTTTGTTTTCAGGGTGGTTGTTGTTTTTTTCTTCTGGTTTCCTTTCAAGGAGGTTTCAGAAAGATTTAAGAAACACGTAGGTCAGGCAAAGGTCTAGAATTTTGAAGAATGAGATTATAAATTCTTTGCCACCAGATCTTTCCTCACAAGAAAAGCTGGTGACAACAACGTGCCAGGGACTTTATTTTATGACATATAGAAACAGTGAAGTTTTAGCATTAATTTGAAAAAGCTGTGCTCCAGAAACATGGAAACACAGCAGCCAAATCATTTCTTAAAGGTTTTAAAATTAATAAAAACCTAATTGCAATATAATTTTATTACATTTTTATATTGCTTGTAAAATTACAATTACACAAATATGAAAACAGGCTTCTGTTACTTGACTGTCTCATTTTATGCTGTTCTTGGGACAATTTATCCTTAAATATAATACTAAGCAGCTTTAAGTTGCCTATTTTACAACATCAACAAAATTAAGCTCCCTGTGTCTTAACCTGGAGTATTTTACGAGAAAACATTCTTCAGATTTAATAAGTGTTTTATGGATTTAAAGGGAATCGAAATAGAGTCGCATGATAGTTTTTTTTTTTTAAATAAGATTTGCATTCTCTGTAGGTGACTATAAAAAAAAAAAAACCCAAAATTTAAACTCCGAACCATACATACGGAGGCTCCTTAAATACACGTTTGTTCTTGCTTAATCTTAAAGATTGTAAATTACCCACCACCACATCTAGTTCATTTGCAGCCTCGTGCCCAGGGGCTTAAGTTTCTTCCCACTTCGGAGACGCCCTGTGTAAAACCTCTTTACACAAATATTCAAAAACTCGCAAAGTGCGTACAAGGATAGCTGCCTCTTCCCTGCATCTGACGGGTGTTAAGGATTTTCCACCCTGAGCAGTTGCGACACAGTCTCTTCGGGAGTCCAGGTCTGAGGTAATGAATCCACCTACTGGAGAAACGATTCACCAGAGAGAAACCCAGTACAAAATGTATCCAAGTTGAATCAGATTCCCAAAACAGCCACCAGATTTGCCCAGATTTGACTCTAGGACCGACACAACCAACAGCAGTGGAAATGGGTCACAAACACAGCTTATGTGACAAAAGTGACCAGATTTTGGGCACTGCACCAAGACCTTTCTTCTCCCTTTTTTCTCCTCCGCACTTTGTCTTTGGCCAGGCTACGCACCAGCACAATTGGACCTTTGTTCCACGGCCCACCCAATAGTCAGTGGGGCTTCCTATTCTTGTGTTTTTCCTCCATCTGCACAAAAACCAGCCCTCCTCCTACCCTCTAAATCAAGATTCATGCCGTGGGCAGCAGCTTTTGCTAATAGAACTTGAACTTGAAGGATGAAAGAGGACACAGAATTGAGTTGCCTTTTGAGGGGTTAATTGAACTTAATCCCGGATGGAATGAATGGCTTGAATGTCACTGCCCTCCTCTTCCTGTCCCCACACTCCTGCTCCCAGTGCTGTGATGCTTGGTTCCTGACACGCTGTCCTAATGCCAGCTTCTTCACAGAGACTTTGCACAGCACATTTGTTCTCTCTGATCTGCACTTCCGAGTTCAGCCAGTTATTTGTCCATGAGCTCGACACATTTACTGATCTTTTACCGTGGGCCAGGCATTGTGCTGGGATGCAAAGATCCATTCATTCAACCCATTAATTATCAATATTTGTTAGGCTACTATTGTGTGTTCTAGGTGCCAGTTACACAGCAGAAAACATAGCTGCCTTCATGGGGCTTATAATTTATGGGGAGTGTGGCAAAGACAAATTTACAAATTACATATATAAATTATATACCATGTTAGGTGAGTGCCTGAAGAAAAATACACCTGGGAGAGAGATAAAGGGTTGGATAAACTTAAAACTGAGCGGGGGGGGGGGGCGGGCGGCGCCCCTGGGTGGCTGAGTTGGTTGAGCAACTGATTCTCGATTTCAGCTCAGGTCATGATCCCAGGGTTGGGGGATGGAGCCCCAGGTTGGGCTCTGTGCTGAGCATGCAGCCTGCTTGAGATTCTCTCTCTCTCTCTCTCTCTCTCTCTCTCTCTCTCTCTCTTTCTCTCTCTCTCTCTCTCTCTCTCTCTCCCTCTTCCCTGCTCACTCACTCTAAAATAAAATAAAATAAATTAAAATAAGGTGGTTAGGGAAGGGCTCACTGTAATGATGAGCATCTACAGATGTGTGGGGCAGAGCCCTGTAGACAGAAGAATAGCCATGCCAAGGCCCTGAGGCACAAGAGTGTTTGGAAAGACTGGTGAGGCGCCAGTAATGTGGCTGGGACTGCGTTAATGAGGGGGAGAGTAGTGGGAGGTGAGATTGGGAAATAGGTAGAGGCAGATCATATGGGCCTTACAGGATGTGAGAAGCTCTTTGACTTCTCAAAATGAAACGGGGAGCCATTTGAAGGTTTTAGGGCAGAGGAGGGACATAATGTGCTGGGGTAACAACTGGCTGGGGGATGGGGGAGGCAGAAGCAGGAAGATCCGTGGAGGCCCCCACTGTAGGACTGACAGACCGATGTTGGGGAGCAGGCGGGACGAGGGGGGGTGGTGTCCAGGTGGTAGGGAGCATCGGAAGTCCGGATATATTTTGAGTATGGAGCTAATAGGATTTGCTATGGATCAGATACGGGACGAGGAAACAAGGAAAGGAGGTAGGACTCCGGTTTTAGGCCTGAAATCTGGGACAATAAGAACGAGACGCAAATACGTGCCTTCAAAGAGACGGCTAACGAGGGCCCTCGTGGCAGGAGCGCCTGCTGTCCCAGCATGAGGCCGCGGGGAAGTCGCCCGGATGCCTCGGAGCAGCCAGGGCTGGCTGGGGCCTGGGGCGGGGCAGGCAGTGCACCAGGGTCGGGGTCGCCAGGCGGCCGAGGCGGGGAGGATGTTGCAGACTCAGAATCCACCAGGGGCCTGCTGCTCGGGGGGTGGTGGCTGGGCAAAGCAGGAGTGGCCACCAACGATGGCCCCGGTGCTGCCGGACCGACGCGACAGTCCCTAGCCGTCCTTCCGCGGTTGGAGAGGCCAGGCCCGCCTTTCACCCCTTCCGGTGCAGCAGGGAGGACCACGTGACAGTCCTGGCCAATGACACGGAAGCTCGTGTGGGTGGGGCTTTGCGGCAGAAACGTGCTCCGCCCTCCCGAGGCAGGAGTCCCTTCGGGCCGCTAGGGCGGCTCGGGCGGCTCTGGCTGCTTCCGGGAATGCAGACGCCGAGTGCCAGCAATACGCGTGCACCTTCGAGCTGGCAAAGCCACGTGCTAAGTCAGGAGGATGTAGAGGGAAGGTGGAAGAATGAGTCTTGATGAGGGTGAGCTGTTGCTCCCACTCTGATGGCCTGCTTCTAGACCTCTCCTAGGTGAGGTCATGAAAGGTCTTTGCTTGCGGAAGCCTCTGTTAGTTGGATGTTCTGTAAGTGCCCCAATCGTTCCTAAGTAATGGAGCCAGAAGCCTTGCAGA